TGTCGGACATCTGCAAATTTCTCAGGTGGCAATTTGTTACCAATTCTGTTTTTTATATTGCTCGTGGGTATACTATCTGCCCTCATGGAGTTCCTTTTAAAAAAAAAAAAGTAAAGTGCACAGTTAGTCAACTTCAACTATGAAATAAAGCCCAAGCAATAATCTCATACTCTAGAAAAAACAACTTAAGAGACACAACCCAATATGGCCAACATTCACTTACAAATACCACATATGATTATAACTTACTAAGGAAAACCAAGATCATCTTGCTGTGAAGAGACTAGTAAGGGTGAGCAGAATGCTGTTTCCCATGGTGAGTTCCACTCATGATACCCATACACTATCACAGAGTACATAACTATAAGCACCCTTCTTCTGGGACAAACAAATGTTAAGCTGAGGCCTGCAAAGAGCTTCTGCTCACCTAGAATGTGATCTGGCTGTAGTCAACACATATAGGGTCTATAATCCCCTTCTTTAAAGGGCAGACTTCTCTGTCAACAAGTTCTAATACCATGCTATGTACCAATATTATTCTGCCAGTAGGCTCTATTAGGAAGTTCTATGAAAATTAAAAATAATGATGTGAGTTCAAGAAGAACTCAAACTATCATTATTTGCTAACATGATTCTATACTCCACCAGAAAACTTCTAGAAATAATGAATTCAGCAAAGTAGCAGGATATAAAATCAATACCCATAAATCAAATGCATTGCTATACATCAGTGATGAAATCTTCTGGAAGAGAAATTAGGAAAACTACCCCATTCATAGCAACCTCAAAAAAATAAAATACTTGGGAATCAACTTAACAAAAGAGGTGAAAGACCTCTACAATGAAAACTACAGGAGACTAAAGAAAGAAATTGAAGAAGATCTTAGAAGATAGAAAAGATTTCCCATGCTCTTGGATAGGCAAAATTAATATTGTCAAAATGGCCCATACTACCCAAAACGCTATACAGATTCAATGTGACTCCAATTAAAATCCCAATGTCATTCCTTACAGAAACAGAAAATCAGCATACAATAGTAACGCAGCCACACCAGGTTCATAGCAGCTCAATTCACAATAGCTAAACTGTGAAAGCAACCTAGATGCCCTTCAATAGATAAATGGATAAGGAAACTGTGGTAATCACACATGATGGAATATTACTCAGCAATAAAAGAGAATAAAATTATGGTATTCACAGGTAAATGGGTGGAGTTGGAGAACATCATGCTAAGTAAAGTAAGTCAATCCCAAAAAAACCAAAGGCTGAATATTCTCTCTGGTAAGTGGATGCTGATTCATAATGGGGAGGGGGGATGCATGGGAAAAATGGATGAACTTTGGACAAAGGGGAGGAGGGTAAGGAGGGTGCTTGGGGGCAGGAAACATGGTGGAATGAGACAGACATCATTACCTAGGTACATGTATGACTGTATATATGGTATGACACTACTCGTGTACAACCACAGAAATGTAAAATGAATCAAAATGCATTCTGCTGTCATATACACCTAATTAAATTAATTTTAAAAATACTAATGATGTGAACAAGTCCATACAAACAAATCAATCAGCTTTAAAGGTCTTTCTTCCTTCTGCCAAATGTATCACCAAGAACATCATAAACCATCCCCAGAATTTAACTCTTGGGAGTTTTAGATATACTATCTGCAGTCACTGAATATGCTCATCCCTAATAGTAAAAAAAGTACACATTAAAATAACTATATTTTTTGTTCATAAAAGATTAGGAAAAATGGAATACCTAAGATTGGTGTAGATATGGGTAATAGGTGCAGTGTGGGTACAACCTAGAAAGAAATCTAGTACAGTTATTAGATTTTGAGGAATCTATCTAGTTAATAAAATAGTAAGAAAATAAATCTAAATGCCCATCAATAAGGAATTAAGTGAATCATGATACTTTCAAACAATAGACTACATGTGGTTGAAAAAAACAAGATGTCTATAATATATTAAATGGGGAAAAGCACACTGCAAACAATATAAATACCATAGCGTCATTTCTATACAAATATACCTATAGTTTCTTTGTATATTATGTATATGCATAAAATAACTAGAAGGTTATTCACTTAACTGCTAACAATTGTTATCATGAGGGTCTAGGAATACAGGGAACTTTTAATGATAAACACTTTTACCTAATATTTTTCAGTTGAGATTCTACTTCGTCGGCATACATAGTCATTTTCATGCTTTTCTTTGGTGAAGGAGTGGAAATCATTTTCAGTTCTAGATCATAGTCCATTTCATCTGAGTCTGAGCTGCTGGCACTGGACCGCCTAGACACACTCCGCTCCCGGGTCTGCTTAAGAGCTGGAAGCTCCTCATGGTACTCTACCACCACCCTGTCATCTGCATCCATGTCCTGGTCTTCCTCCTCCTCCTCTTCCTCCTCTTCCTCCTCCTCAATAGGTTCCTCAGGAACATTCACTAATGCTGAAGAAATTTAACCAAAAGACATTAGGAAAAGCTTAGCTAAAACTAGTAAATGTGATTTTCTATTCTACAAAGGAGAAAAATTCCTACCCCTGAGATTTATTGGAGCATTATCTATAACAGAGCCAAACCAGACACCATTCTGATGTCCAGAAGAGAATGGCTGGGTAAAGTATGATCTAGCAGCTTAATGGAATATTATATATAAAATTATTTAAATTACAGTCAATTCTCATTATTTACAAGTTCTGTATTTGCAAATCTGTCAAAATTACTTGTAACCCTAAGTCAATATTTGGGGTACTTTCAAGGTCATTTGCAGGCACGTGCAGAGCAACCAAGAAATTTGAGTCACTGGACGAGTTTGTTTCCAGCAGAGGTCAAACAAAGCAACACTCTATTTTTCTGTTTCATCTCTCATACTGTAAGAAACATCCTTTTTATAGTCTACTGACTGTCTTATTTTTCTGCTTCTTATGCTTTTTGTTGGTGAAAATGAAACAGCACAGCATTCTTCGTGTTGTTGTTAAGTGCAAGAAGGCTGTGATATGACTTAAAGAGTAAATACATGTGGTTAGATAAGCCTCATTCAGGACTAAGTTAAAGTACTGTTGTTGACTGTGAATTCACTGTTAATTAATCAACAATATATGTAAACTAATGTATCTTTAAACAGCTGATGAAAATAGTGTGACCTGAGGCTTCGTATTGTTAGTATTTACTATTTTAATGTTTGCAGTGACTTCATAGTACACAACCACACCAATTACTGAAAGTCAATTATTAATTTTAAAGTTTGTGGAAAAATGCTTATAATAAGTGAATATAAAATATATATTTATAGAATTATAAATATTTATTATGAAAATAAACATGGGAAAAATATAAAATGAAATCAGTTGTTATATTAGGGACTAGAATTAGGGGCAATTTACTTTTTAATTTCTTTAGCATAAAGAGTGGATATCTTAACTGAAATTGGAAAAGTATAATAGAAAAACATACACATTATTAATACTCAGATTTCAAACTCATTAAGTAAAAATATATAGACTTCACCTCTTCCTATCCCATTCCAGTGATATAAGTGTACATGTTTTTCTATTTGTATGATGACTTGACTAGTTCTATAAACATGTAGAAGATTCCACACATTAAGTTCAAATAAAAACAAATCTTCATAAAACATTAAGAAAATGATTAATTTACTAAATAAGCATGAAGAAAAAAGAAAGAGAAAAACCCAAGTCATGATATCCCATTTTTCTGTGGTACTCTTGGGCACAAATCAATAAGCATAAAGCACTCAACATAACAGCCTATTTACATTATCAGAAAAGGAACAATAAAATCAGCCCATTTGATCAGATAATTTAAAAAATTATTTTTCATGCAGTTGTTGATATTAATAGTAGAAAAATTAGGTTTCTAAGAAAAGTTTTATTTAGCTTTTCTTATGTTACATTTGGCCTTTTTTGATAGAACAGTTTTATAAAATCATTTGACCTCTTTGCACGGGCAATTTAAAATTAATTGTGACATGACTTACTTTCCTATATGTTGGCAGAGGGTGAGGGCAAGGAAGAGAGGATGATAAAGTGTGGAACCTTAAAAGACTGTATTAAGAATAAAAATATGATTTCGAGAGCCAAACATGTGTCTACCCAAGAGCTGAGCAGGCAACTACCGGAATGTCGGTGTTTATATGACGTCAAGCCAACATCATCCCCAATCAGGGCTCTCTTCTTGATCACATCCCGCTGAATGCGACGGGAATGATATCTTCGCTTCCTGGAACAGTGCCAAAATAAGCACATAATCAGAAATCAATAGGAAGGATTTTGAAAACTACTAATTCATTCCAACTGCACAATGACACAATAGTAGGTGCTGAAACAGATATTTTAAATGAAACAGCACAGCATTCTCGTATCATTTACCACAGTTAAGAAGCTTGAATTCTTTTTTCTCATCTTCCTTTTTCAGTCCACAAAGGGTTTTTACATTTCACTACAGAATACCAACTGAACGATTAAGAAAAGCTTAATTACTATATAAACTACTGTATTTTAAAGGTTTTGGACTCACCAAGAATTGCTAAGAATTCCTTTCATGCCTCCGTAATTTGGATTCCCATATTTCATGTAATACTGACTTCTTCTGGCTGCTCCAAGTTCCTTTTTGTCATCTAAAAATTAATTAAAACAGTTAGCTAGATATTCCTGGTCATGAAGGCAACGTTGAATGGTTTTTAAAAGTGCATGTTTTCCCGTAGCTTGGATCTGATCAGTGCAATCTCCCAAAAAAAAAAGGACAGAGCCCCTATAAACTATAAACATTTGCTCTCTGAGTGTTCACTAAGGCAATGCAAGTGTGGAGGAGGTGGAGTAAAATACACAGATGGCTGAGGTTAAGCTGCTGTTTAGGACTGACTAACTTGACAGAAGAAATACTACAAAAAATAAACAAGATACAAGATACAAGGTTCTAAGAGGCATGAGAGGTTTTTTTTTTAGAAGAGATAACACTTTTGTGGTCCTTAGAGGGATGATACTCATTTCTGAATGACAAACTCTCCAATAACACAGAACAAGGGTTAAAGAATAAAACAACATAATTTCACATTTTTTTAAATATTTATGTTTTAGTTATAGGCAGACACAATATCTTTAGATCTAACCCAGTGCCTCACTCATGCTAGGCAAGCGCTCTACCTCTGATCCACAACCCCAGCCCATAATTTCACATATTGAATAAATCTTTTTTTTTCTAGCTTATTTTTATATTCCTCAAATTGACTTCAAGAAAACAAAACTGAGTACCAAACATTTCAAATATATTCAAAAAAACATTCAAATGAGTAAATGTGGAAAAGATCACATTTGTCACATTAAAATGCTAGTTAACAGGAAAGAAAGGTGGTTGGTCAAAGCAGTAATATAAAGGCCTTCAACAGCTGCTTGGGCACTCTCTGATTGCAAAGGACAAACAACACTGTAAATGTATCCAGTGCTACAGGAAAACGGGACATCAACTATCAGTATGTGTACCTCCCCTATATTATTCTCCAAAAGACCATGTGAACCAGCTCCCTGAAGAAATGGCTGATTTCAGATCTGGGAAGGTGAAGTACAAATTAAGTCTTGAAAAATAAGATGTTTTGTTGTATTGCAAGTAAGCAAGTGCTCAAAGAACTGTAGGAATATCAAAATACAGCTTGAAGGAGCTTTACTGGACCAAATCCAAGACAATTTGTGAAACAAAATGATGACAGCTATGGATTATGGCTTATTGAATAAAAATCCGAGTCTAAACTTATATGAGTAAATAAACAAATACATAAACAGGTAAAAAAGAAAGTTCTTCCCTAGAGTAGACTGCCAACTAATAAAGAAATAACCATTAATGGATGCTAAAGCTACTGCATGTAAGTGCAATAAGCAACAAGCTATTCATATAATCTCAAAGTGTCTGTCCACAACTGTTTTAATTACAAACAGAAAAATAGTTAACTTTACAGTTGGAAAAACAGGAAATCATTACCTTAACTAAGTAAATAATGTTAATATCTTTGAGAATGGGAAGAATAGCTTTCATGTACCTCCTCCTATACAACCCACTAAAAATGACACATAATCACTTCTGTAGTATTCTTGCCTCAAAATGATATGAATTTAATCAGAAGAAAATATTAAACATATCCAAACTGGGGGAAAGTCTATAAAATATTGAGCCCATATACTCTAAAAATTTCTCAGTCAAGGAAAACAAAGTGAAGGGGTAGTTCCAGATTAAGGGAGACTAAAAAGACAAATGACATACCTAAATACTCCATCTTGGAGTAGATCCTAGATCTGTGGGGTTAGGAAATCCATGAAGGACCTATTTTTGGAAGACCTGATGAAATCTAAACATGGACTATGGATTAGGTATTAAGTATGGTATTAAGTTAAATCTTCTGATTTTTGATAACTGTGCTTGTAGGTTAAGACAATGTCCTTATTCTTCAGAAATACATATTGAAGTATTTAGAGGTAAAGAGATGTTAATGCCAACTTGCTTTCAAATGATTAAAAGAACATATATGTGTATATATAAATATGTACATATACATACATATTTTCTAATTCCCACCAAAAATCATTGTGCAAAAAGTCTTATTAGAAAAGAATCAGAGCTGAAAGGCATATTAGTGATGTCACCAGGATGTTATTGCTATAATAAGCTAACAGGATAATTTTTTTAAAGTTTTCATAGTTCAGATAACTGGCTGAAAAGCACACGGGGCAAATCACTTTAACAGAAAATAACTTACGGTAGCCAGAATTCACCAACATACACAAACAGTTGATTTTCACTTTGAAAGTCAGAAATTCCTTTCAGCTTACAAACCATTTTTCATAAACACAGAATACCACAGTGTACAGGGAACCTTGAAATGACTTGATCTAACTTCTTTTCAAAAGAGAGAGATGTCACTCAATAATAAATAATTTTTGATTGAAGGTAAAAATGCCAAAAAAAATTATTTTACCTTTTGTAGCAAATCTCATGAATAACCTATTTCCTTTAGCAAGTTTGTTAGCTGGACGAAGATCATTTCTTAACAGAGACTCTTCTTCTACCTGAGACAATGTGTCCAACTTAAGAAAAATAAAGACCATTTTCAATGTAAAAATAAATCTTTTTTATATTTATTCAGTTGACAATTAACCAGTAAAAAAAGCCTTCTACCTTTAATACCCATCAACCTGGCAGCCTAGCTCCTCTGCAGAATTTTAAAGTCAGAGGTTGTCTCTGACCATCCTGTTTAAAACAATAGTCTCCATCACTCTCTATTCCTTTAATCATTATCTTTCTTCATAATACTTATTACCTTCATGTATGTGTGTATCTGTATTGTCGATCTTCCCCACTAACATGTAAGTTCCAAGAGGGTAAGAACTTTGTTTTGTTTGATGATGTACTCTATTACCAAGAATTTGATACACCGTAGACATTTAAAATTTAAATATTTATAATAAATACACTCATATTTCTAATAATATAAAATCCATTAGGGAATATACCATTTCTTGCTTTTTCTTTTTTGTGGTGCTGGGGATGGAACTCACAGCTTCACACATACTAAGCAAGTACTCTACCATAGAGCTACAGCCCCAACCCTACTTTGCTTTTCCTTAATTTTATTTGTTAAATAACACTTCAAAATATTTCTCAATAAAACCATATTTTTTCCAGTATGGGGAATTGAACTTAGGAGCACTCTACCAGCTATATCCCCAGCTCTTTCTAAATTTTACTTTGAGACCATGTCTTGCCAAGTTGACCAGGCTGACCTCAAACTTGGGATCTTCCTACCCCGACCTTCCAAGTAGCTAGGATTACAGGTGTGCACCACCATGCCCACTAAAACCATTTTCTTTCAGGAAGAAATATGAACACTATTCTAAGATCTCAAGATAAACTATTACAACCACATAAGTTAAAGGCCAAGAGTCTGGTGCACCCTCAGAAGGTTTCATGGTAAAAGCTAAATGAAGAACACAACAAAGTTTTTAAGAATTAAATTTAAAACAACAATAAGTAATTTTTTTTATTTTTTAAATTGTGAATAGATCTTTATTTTATTTATTTATATATGGTGGTGAGAATCGAACCCAGTGCCTCACACATGCCAGCCAAGAGCACTACCGCTGAGCCCCAGCCCCAGCCCCAATAAGTAATTTTTTTACAATAAAATCTTACAGGTATCTTTGCCCTATTACTAACCTCTACATCACTTGAGTTCTCATCTTCAACTTCTCCTTCTTCAGCCTCGTCATCATCTGAACTGTCTTCATGCTTGTCTAAAATGGAATGTAAAGGACAAGATGAACCTTAACATAACGCCATCTCATAGAACTTTTAAAGTCTAGTATTTTCTACTCATGTTTACTGCTGATTCCAAACAACATAGTTTATCTCAAAAACATGGGTTGATGATATACCATATGATATTTCACTTCCCAAGGACTGGACTATGTAAAGAACAGGACTTTCATGCCAAAGTTCCCTCCTTTGTGTTGTTACCTTTTTTACTTTTCTCAGATGACTTGTCTTCACTGGCATCCCTGCTTCTGATCTTATCCTGGGCTGGCAGAGAGCTCATATTGATAAGGGCTCGTGTAGCTGTCATTTCATCCAGCCAAACCACATTACCTAAAATAAAATGTTACAATGCATCCAAATGATTAAGTTACTTGAGATCAGATTCTGCATCATATTCATTGTTACAGCTTAATCTAGTTATAGACAGTCATCAGTAAATAAATATACATATCAGTTAATGAAAAGAAGTATAAAAGTAGTGAAAAAAATCTCTTTGATGGATTTAGCCTAAAGCTATATTCCCAAACTGGGTTCCACAAAATAATTATTAAATATTCCACGAAGAAGAATTCTGTATTTTAAAAATAGAATATGCCAAGTGTTAGTCAGTTTCTTTTTTTGAGATGAAATCTCACTGTTGCCCAGCCTACCCTCAAACTCCTGGGCTCAAGCAATCCTTCTCTATCAGTTCATAGTAGAGACTATAGGCACTGATCCAGCTAAATGTTAGCAATTTTTTTTTCTTTTTTTGGTGGTTCCAGGGATCGACCAGAGGGCCTTGTGCATATAAGGCAAGCACTCTACCAACTGAGCTATATCCCCAGTCCTGTTAGCAGTTCTTGATGATGATGATGATAACTGTCAAGTAAATTTGGATTATCTATTATACTATTGCCCCCTGTTATTCTTTATTATCTAGACATGCTAAGTGATGTTCCCCCATAATAAAGTGTGGGTAAGTAAGGTATCCATGGGATGTGTACCATGGAGATATGATAGCCACTTGGCTTTGCAGCAACTAATCTAATTTACCCCTTTAAGAAAGAAAATTAACCAAGAAAAAGGATTTGAAAAGTCATGTAGAATAAAGACCTCTTTAACTGTTTCAAATAGCACTTCTCAAAATTATGTTATCCCTATATCTTGGTTTGGGAAATTAAGGCCTAAAGACTTTCACTTATGTTAGGCTACAAAGCCTTGAGCAAACAATTTCCTTTATCTATTTTTCAGTTTCTGATGCACAATATGAGGTAGCTGAACTGAATAATTCCAAGGATCCCTTTAATTCTAATATCCTTAGCTATAGATTTAATGACTTAAATCAGAGTTTAGCAAACAATAACCCATGGGCTAAACCCAGCCCATCATCTGTCACCTTTTTTTTATAGTTGTAGATAGACACAATACCTTTCTTAAAATTTATTATTATGTGGTGCTGAGGATTGAACCCAGTGCCTCACACATGCTAGGCAAGCGCTATATCACTGAGCTACAACCCCAGCCCCATCATATGTACTTTTTATATTTGAACCATCTTTATTAAAGAATAATTAATGTACAATAAATACATACCCACTGCCCATTTTTGTAAAAAAAGTTCTATTGAAAAACAGCCAGGCTATGAGTTTTTATACTGTTTACAACTGCTTTCATGCTACCACAGCCGTTGAACATATGTTACAGGGACCATATGGCTATAAAACCTTAACTATTTATAATCTGTTCCTTTCTAGAAAAAGGTTTACTGACCTTGAATTTGGATATTGAAAGTTAAGTAAAAAGAGAAAAGGAGGAAACCCTTGTCTCAGTCATGTTTCTTTCAATGAAAACACTGAATCAACACCTTTTAGCTGAGAAACTAGATGCCATCTAGGGCACTGCCTAGTAGGTCAGCCAGCTGGCAGCAAGTAAAGCCAGACTAGAAGTAAGCCAAGACAAGAAGCCAGTAAAGTAGTTACCAGAGGTCAAGTCAGACTTGGCATGGAAGGCAAGTTAAAAATTACATTTGGCTCCCAAGCCAACACACAGGTTAGGGTAGGTGATATTCCAGAAAACACAGTACAAGGCAAGTAAAGGTGAGACATCTGTCAGAGCATTCTCGTCTAGTTCTAGATCAGAAACACTGGAGCAAATTCAACCCTTTGAATAACTATGGCAAGTAGCAATGCCAAAGTTTCAAGCCTTAAAAACATAGCCCTGAAACTATGCAGCTGGATCCACCCCTTTGTTGGGAGACCATGGGAGAAAGAGAGGTCTTAATCAAGTATATAAGGCGCAGTTGGCAGTAATCAATCTGCTACAGCCTGGATTTCTATGAGTTGACTTGGAATACCCATGAAGTATGAGTTAACAGACTGGTTAAGGCATGCTGATTCTCATCGATGGGCAATATTTTTCTTCTAGGCTAAGGACAGAGGTTAGACATAAACAAGGAGTTTGGGCCATAATCATTTACCATTTTAGACAGCAAGAATTCTTAATAATTCATTTTTAAAAGCATATTCAACAGAAAACTTGGGTGTACTTACAGGAGGTATCATCCAACCATTCAATGTGTGCTGGAGGATATTCTTTAAAATAGGAAAAGATATCCTGGGTACTCATTTCATCTACTCCACAAATGTAGATTGTCTCTAGTCTCACTTTGGGAATTGCTATAAAAATAAGACAGAAAAGATGACAGAATTTTCCCACCTGCAATCACACATTCCACTAGTACTATTTATAAAATTTTAGAAAAGAAATATGCTGAAAGAAAGATGTTCAAAAGAACACAAGATGGTAAACTAAAATGTTTTTAATTTTTATCAATGAACACCAGCATTAAACAAATGATTTAATTCAGAAAAGGGATATTAGGCTCAGAATATGATGTTAGTAAAGCACATGATACCTATCCCCACATTAACCCGCAGGAAAGCAATACTAAATTCAAAAGGATTATTCTATACTTGACAATCTGATTCTAAAAGTTTTAAGTACATGTCAAAGAGAGATGTACAATAGTGGAGATAATCATGAAGGATAAGAAATTGCTGCTGAATATATAAAAACACAAAACTAAAATAATTATAGAGCGAAATCAGATGCAGTGGTGCATGCCTGTAACAGGTGACTAGGGAGGCTGAGGCAGGAGGATTGCTAGTTCAAAGTCAGCCTCAGTAACTTAGCAAGGCCCTAAGCAACTCTGCAAGACCCTGTCTCAAAATAAAACATAAAAAGGCTGGAGACATGGCTCAGTGGCAAAGAGCTCCTGCAGTTAAATACCCAATACCACAAAAAAAAAAAAAAAGAAAGAAAGAAAAGAAAAAAAAATTTTATGGCATGAAACTAGAAAAAAGAAATCCTCAAGTCCTTAAGAAAATGACACTTCAAAATAAAAATGGGCAAAGGACATAAACAGGCAATTTATACAAAAGAAACTACAAAAGGCCAATAAACATGTGAAGAAATGGGCTAACCTTTCTGTTAACCAGGAAAGTTCACATTAAAAAGAAGATACCAATTTTCACTGAACAGATTTTATGCATTTTGGTATAAAGTGTTGGCAGTGGGTGGGGAGTTACTCCCCTTGCCAGTGGGAGTGTGGAACTGGCACAGCCACTCTGAAGGACAAACAGGGATGTAATTTAGCACACACCCCTAGAAACTCTAGTCCTATCTACCTTAACACACAGACTCACAAAATAGCTCACACAAAGATGTTTAGGGCAGCACTATTTCTAACAATTAAGTAGCTGCAAGAGTAACAAATTGTGGTTTATCTATATTAAATAAAGCACAGTTTATCCATATTATAGAATATAATACAGTTAAAAAAAAAACAATGAGAGCTGGGTATGGTGGTAGACACCTGTAATCTCAGCTACTTGGGAGGTTAGGGCAGGATGATTATGAGTTTAAAGAGAGACTGGGCAACTCAAATTGTCTCAAAAGAGGGGAAAAAAAAAAGCTGGGAATATAGCCTCAGTAGTAGAGCACTTGCCTACTTGTTTAGCTTGCATAAGGCCCTAGGTTCAATCTCCAACAAAGAAAAAAGAAAAAAAAAGTTGTAGAAAATTAAACAACCATCCACTCTCGAGATAAATATATTTGTATACACAAATACCTAGAAAAAAGCCTGGTATGAGTCTCACTATACTGATAATAGTTGATACTTCTGAGGAGGGAGAAAGATTGATAGCTGTGATCAAAAAGGAAAGTTAGCCTCATCAGAATTCTGTTATGTTTACACAAAATACTTCTAAGTACATTATATCATTTAATCTATTTAATTTCAAAATATATATAAACATATCATAAAAATTTAAAATACCTATATGTCTACTTCATAATTTTAAGCTTAATTTCTTAAAAGATCAGACAAGTAAAACATTTCGTATAAAATGGGGGCCCCTGTAATCGTTCCACATCCCTCTCTCCCTTCCTGCACTGCACATATTAATGGTTGCTAAGTGATGTTTAAAAAAAATTATATATATTTACATTTAAATCAGGTTCAATATCTCTCTCCTCAAATATGTACGATTTCTTTACGGTGAAAACATTCAAAAATCTTTTCTTATAGATTTTTGAAAGATACAGTATATAACTGTTATATATATATTCACTCTAAGGCTGAGGATGTAGCCCACTGAAGATAGAGCACATTCCTAGCATATAAGAGGCCCTGGGTTCAATCACCAGCACCACAAACAGACACATAAAATCATAGCTTCTTACTCCTAACTGTAACTTAGTCCCCTCTGACCAGACTTTTCCCATCCCTCTCTCTTCCCAGTCTCTGATAACTGTGAGTTCAACTTTTTCAGTCTCTGAGTTAAGATAATGCTGTCCTTGTTTTTCTGTGCCAGGCCTAACATAATGATCCATACATGTTGTCACAAATGATAGGATTTCATTCTTTTTTTAATAGCTGAATAATATTTCAGTTTAGGGACTGGGGTGTTGTAGCCAGTGGCATAGCACTTGCCTAGCATGTGGGAGGTACTAGGTTGGATACTTAGAAACATATCAAAATAAACAAATAAAATAAAGGTATTCTGTTCATCTACAACTACAAAAAAAAAAAAATTCCAGTGTATATATATATGTACCACACTTTCTTTATCAATTCATCAGATGATGGACACTTAGTTTGATTCCATATCTTGGCAACTACACATAGTACTGCAAAAAACATGGGAGTGCAGATGTCTCTTTGACATACCAACTTCATTTCCTTTGACTGTATATATATACACACACACACACACACACACACACACAGTAGTGAGACTGCTGGATCATATGGTAATTCTATTTTTAATTTTTTGAGGAACCTTTGGTTGTTTTCCCTAATGGCTGTATTAGGGCTTGGTTTATAACTCACGGATAGAATACTTACCTAGCATGTGTGAGGCCTGAGTTCAATCTTCAGCACCATAGGGGGAGTGGGGATGACTCTAACATAATGGCTGAACTAATTCACATTCCCACCAACACTATGCAGAGGTTCCTCCTTCTCCACATTCTCATCAACACTTGTTATCAACTCAAAATAGATTGAAGATTTAAAATGAAAGACATGGGGCTGGGGATGTGGCTCGAGCAGTAGTGCGCTCGCCTGGCATGCGTGCAGCCCAGGTTTGATCCTCAACACCACATACCAACAAAGATGTTGTGTCCGCCAAGAACTAAAAAATAAATATTAAAAAAAATTCTCTCTCTCTCTCTTAAAAAGAATCACTAAAAAAAATAAATAAATAAAATGAAAGACATGAAACAACTAAAAGAAAACACAGGGAAGCACTTCAGGATGCTAGAACAGGTAAAGATTTTCTGGACAAGACTCCCAAAACAGGGGATATAAAAGCTAAAATATATAAATGGGATTACATCAAACTAAAAAGCTTCTGCACAGCAAAGGAAACAATCGGCAGAGTAAAGAGACAATCTACAGAATGGGAAAAATTATTGGCAAACTAAAAAGGTTGTTATCCAGAATATACAAGGAGGGCCAGGCGAGGTACAATGGTGCACACCTGTAATCCCAGCAGCTTGGGGGGCTGAGGCGGGAGGATTGAAAGTTCAAAACCAGCCTCAGCAAAAAGTGAGGTGCTAAGCAACTCAGTGAGACCCTGTCTCTAAATAAATATAAAATCGGGCTGGGGATGTGGCTCAGTGATCAAGTGCCCCTGAGTTCAATCCCTGGTACCCCCCACGCCCAACAAAAAAAAAAGAGAGAGAGAGAAAAACAGAATATAAAAGGAACTACAAAAACCAATGGCAAAAAAAAAAAAAATTACAAAGTGCACAACAGATCTAAATAGACATTTTTCAAAAGACAAATGGCCAGCACGTATGAAAAAAATGTTCAAAACCACTAATTATCAGAAAAATGCAAATCAAAACCACAATGAGGGGCTGGGGTTGTGGCTCAGAGGTAGAGCGTTCACCTACCATGCATGAGGCACTGAGTTTGATCCTCAGCACCACATAAAAATAAAATAAAGATGTTGTGTCCACCAAAAACTAAAAAATAAATATTTAAGAAAAAAAAAAAAGAATGGCTATTTCAGAAGGAAAAAAAAGAAAAAAAATGGAATGGCTATTACCAAATACTTTTTATATGCAATATATTACTTTTACTTAAAGTTAAAATACTTATGAATACTTATAAATACAAAAAAATTTAATGTTTGTTTTGTCATTTTATTCTGAAGAATAAGAAATGTGTTTAGCCAGGCATGGTGGTGCACACCTGTAATCTCATTAGCTCGGGAGGCTGAAACAGGAGGATCACAGGTTTGAAGCCAGGCTCAGCAAACTAGTGAGGCTCTCAGTAACCTAGTGAGACTCTGTCTCAAAATAAAAAATAAAAAGAGCTGGGGATGTTGCTCAGTGGTTAAGTATCCTTGGGTTCAATCCCTGGTACTAAATGAAAGAGAGAGAGATACAGGTTTAATGAGTACCCATGTAGGTATGACTAAATCGGGTGAGGGGTTTTTGGATTTTTTTTTTTTGGTACTGAGGATTGAGCCCAGGGCCCAGGCCTTTTTATTTTTTTTTTTTATTTTATTTTGAGATGGTCTTGCTGAGGTGCTGAGGTTGGCCTCAAACTCACAATTCTCTTGTTTTCAGCCTCCTAAATTGCTGGGATCACTGGTGTACAACACCATGCCCAGCTCAAGAGAGTACTTTCTTGACAGTCCAGATACATGAAGACATAGACACCCTAAAGATTTATGAACTCCAGCATGTCCTCATTGGAGTCCAGCAGTGCAAGAATGAATAGAAACCCAAATACACATAGGAAACAAGGGCTGATTTTGCCCAGGTAGACTCCTCGGTTCCTTGAGCAGAAAACTATAATTTGGGAAGAAAAAGAGCCTTTGAGAAGTCAAGAGATGGTTCCACAGATGGTAAGGAAAAACAGGAGGGCACCCAGTGATAGGAAAGGAAACACACTGAAAATTAGGGGAAAAAAAATTTCAGGT